AAAAAATATTATTTTGGATTTTTTAAATTTTTTTTTTTTTTTTTTTTTTGCAAATTATATTCTCATTGAGAAAATCAGGATTATAAATTTGTATGAGAATATTAATATTACTTTAAAAATCCAAAATAATATTTTTTATAAATATTAGATATTGAGTATAACTTTGTATCAAAAATATTTTTAAAAAATTATTTGAAATTTTTTATATATCGATATAGTAAAAATTTGGATTATTATTATTTCCGGTGACCAACTTCCGGTCACTTTAATTACTATCTCTATGACAACTGCTTCACAAATAATATTCATTAGACACTTTAAAGATAATCTCGCTTATTCGGAACTAAAATTTTGGGATCTGGTTGGTGACTACGTTTTGCCACACAAACATACAAAATTTAAAGCCATTTTTGACGATCGTCAACCAAATTGGGAGGACATCTAAAGTAGAGATAGCTCAAAGCAGGTTTAGGCTGCTCGTTTCTAAAACTCTTTTCTAGAAATGTCAATTTGTCTGATAAAATCACATGATTTTATCAAAATAAATTTCGAGATCAGGTGTTTTGCTTAATTTGAACTCGAAATCAAACACGTTTTTTGAGAAACTTCGAAATAGACGGTTCCATATTTCTTATTATGCAAGTAGTATGCAAGCATTGACTAAAAACGAACAATACTATCGTTGCAGATTATTATTGACAGTTACGAAAATATATTATTATTAACTACAAACTTAAAATTCTCTAAAAGAATCAGGAAAATTTATTTGAAAGAGAGAGATCTTTGAGCCAAAATAAGTCTTATTCGAAAAATTTTCGAATTTACAATTTACACTAAAAATGATAGTGTAATGTTAACTTTCTACTTCTATTATTCTATATATTTTTAAATTTTTTAGCTTTTAATACTAAATTCAAGATTATCGTTATGAAAAAGTGGGCCTAAAACAATTTTGCTTTCGCTTTATATTCTTCCATATCATGTAATAAATTAGAGAAAATCTTCGAACAATATCTACTAACTGAATTTATCTATCTTGTGTACTTTTGCCTCTGTTCGTGAGATTTTTTTTAGTTTAGTCAATCGATATATATGACGTTATGTGACTTCATTAGGACTAGTTAATAACTGATATATTAGTAAGTGATTGTCGAGAATGATTATCAAGGAAGTGGTTCCAGTAATCAGGAAGCGATCGGTATACTACGCGTACGTACTGTCAGGAGAATTGTCAGTGAAATATTTTGATAGAAGGAAAAAATCAAAGTTCACACAGTTATCTATTAGAATTTTCAGTACAAGATTTATTTTATGCTTAATATTAAATTCCTTTGTAAGTCACAAATTTGCGTCGGTCGCCCTTCTTGGCACGATCTGTGTCCCGGAGGGCACAACCTACGCCGTCTCCCACACTTATACGTACATATCAGCTGTGGTACTATCGTTATCATAAATATTTACTTAAAAAATATTTACAAAAAAATGAATATAATGGAAAACAATATTAGAATTACAAATACAAAATAAGAAATCCGTAACAATTGTCTTAACTCGGATAATAACGTAACCGGAGTCATGCAGCCAAAGTGCATAAATTGTCAATTCTATGAACAAGCCTTAACCTTGTTAACAAACAAGATGGTTACTAAATTTTATGAAAGACTTTCTAACAACTTAAATAACCTTCTTACTAATAATAACGAATATAATGTTATAGTTGATGTCGGTAAAGCGCCAAATAATCAAATATTTAAGGCTCATTCTATTATCCTAAGTTCTCGATGCCCCTATTTTAAGGATAAACTAAGTACAATGTTCTGTGATAATGGTAACATGACAAGAATTAAAGTTGATATTTCTATTAGAGTGTTTGATATTATTTTCAAGTAAGCAATAGCAAATAATACTTACTTAAATTTTAATTAAATTTTAATTTATTTTTATTCTTTTAAAATAATTAGATATCTTTACACTGGTACCATTTCATTTGGGAAAGTTAGTGCTTCTGTAATGTTTGATCTTTTAATTGTTTCCCATTCATTTGGCCTTGAAGAATTAGTTGATCATGTTCAATCACTTTTAATAGAAAATAACTCTTTTTGGTTGCGTCATAATTTTTATCGTGTTTGTCAGCATGTTTTTTGTAATGAAGATTTTAAAACTTTACAACAATTTTGTTCAGACGTTGTTGCTCAACATCCTAGCATTATTTTTGATCATGATGAATTTATTTCTCTTCCTGAAAATATCCTACTTTTTATTTTAAAACTCGATACTTTACAATTAGACGAAGGAATAATTTGGGATTATGTAATTAGGTGGGGAATTGCTCGAAACCCTTCATTACCTCTTGATACTAAACAATGGAATGATAATGACTTTTTGACAATGAAATATACTCTTCAAAATTGTCTTCCTCTAATTCATTATTCTCGCATTTCTGAAAAAGATATTTTTGAAAAAATTAGCCCTTATAAAAAAATACTTGATAAAACTTTATGGGATAATATTATGCCAATCGAACAAGCCATTTCGCCTCAATCTTATTTTTCTGTTTCTACACCTACTCAACCTAATCCATCACCAACTACTCCATCATCAACAATAAGTATACAATCATCAACAAGTATAGATAATGAAATCGATGTAGCTATGCTAAAAAAGTGTGCAAAAGACTGTTTAAAATTAAAAAGATATGATGAAGCTCAAAAAAATTTAACTAAGGTATTATTAACTGAACCAAATGACATTATTGCATTATACGATCGAGGTTTGACTTTTCTCATGATGAAAAACTTCAAAAAAGCTCTTAAAGATTTTACAAAATTATTAAAAATTAAACCAAATCATGCACCTACTTTTACAAGTCGTGGTGAAACTTATTTTAGGATGAATTTATATGAAGAAGCTCTTGTAGATTTAACTAAATCATTAGAAATTGAACCAAATAATTCTTGGGCATTAAGTCTTCGTGGTGAAATTTACAATAAAATAGGTAGAAATGAAGAATCTCTTGCTGATTTAACTAAATCATTAGAAATTGATTCAAATAACTCTTTTGCACTAAGAAGTCGAGGTTCTTTATATTATTCAATGAAAAGATTTGAAGATGCACTTTATGATTTAACTAAATCATTAGAAATTGATCCTAATAATCCTGATAATGTCGTTGCATTAAAAACTAGAGGTGACATTTATTGTATTATGGAAAGATATGATGATTCTTATGATGATTTTAGTAATTCTTTAGAAATTGAACCAAACGACGTCTTTACATTAAAGAATCGTGGATTAACTTATATGAATATGGGAAAATATAAGGAGGCTCTTGCTGATTTAAATAAATCTTTGGCAATTGAACCAAATGATACAATTGCTTTACATGATCGTGGAGTAACTTTTCTTCATATGGGTCAATATAAAAATGCTATTGCGGATTTAACAAATTTACTAAAGCTTAATCCAAATCATGTATCTGCTTTGATAAATCGAAGTGAAGCATATCGTTTAATGGGTGAATTTGAAGTGGCTCTTGCTGATTTAACTAAATCATTAGAATTAGAATCTGATAATGCTTGGACATTTAATCGTCGAGGAACTATTTATTATATGATGGAAAATGATAGTGAAGCTCTTGAAAATTTAAACAAATCTTTAGAAATTAATCCAAATGATGTAACTGCATTAAATACTCGAAGTGAAACTTTTCGTATGATGGAACGTTATGATGATGCTCTTTCTGACTTATCTAGATCATTAGAAATTGATCCTAATAATGCTTTTACGTTAAGAAGTCGTGGTACAATCTATTATACATTAAAAAGATATAAAGATGCACTTGCTGATTTAACTAAGTCATTAGAAATTAATCCAGATGATGTATGGACATTAAGTCGTCGAGCTGAATCTTTATGTATGATGAAAAGATACAATGAAGCCCTTGCTGATTTAACTAAAGCATTAAAAATTGAGCCAATTAATGCTTCTATCTTAGGACATCGAGGTGTAATCTATCACAAAATGAAAAAGAATGAAGAGGCACTTGCTGAACTTACTAAATCTTTAAATATTGATCCTAATGATACATTTTCATTAAAAAATAGGAGCGAAATTTTTCGTGTCATGAAACGATATGAAGAGGCAATTGCTGATTTAACTAAATTATTAGAACTTGATCCTAATGATGCGTGGGTATTAAGTCGTCGAGGGACAATTTATAACGTTTTGCATAGATATAAAGAGTCGATTAGAGACTTAACTAGATCATTAGCAATTGATCCAAATAATGCATGGACATTAAGTACTCGAGGAGAATCTTATCGTATGTTGGGTAAATATAACAAAGGACTTGCAGATTTAAATAGAGCATTAGAAATTAAACCAAATATGGCATCTACATTAGGAAGTCGAGGCGCAATTTATCGTGTGATGAAAATGGACGATAAAGCACTTGCTGATTTAAAAAAATCTTTAGAAATTGATCCTGGAAATGAATTTGCGTCAGAGACTCGTGAGAAACTTGAAGCTGATATGAAAAAGAGTAAAATAACTAGAAAACTTCGAGGTTTAGTGAATTTTTAAAATAACGTAATACCATATATTTAATTAGGAAATATTTTCTAGATATCCAATACTTTAGTTAAATAAATACAGCATTTGTTTATGAAATTTTATTAGTGGCATCTATTCATTTCCTAAATTATTCTTTCAATTCTTTAAGAATTATTATTTTCATTGAGAATTACTTATTTAAAGTGAAGCTTTTATCAGTAACACTACAATAATTCGAATCACTAATTTTTAGTCGGTTCGTCTTTCATTTGTAAATACATGCGCATATACTTAAACCAGCGAAGTGGGGTAAATTGCTGTTATGTTTGGGGTTATTTTTTTGATGCAGTTAGAGTTACTATTTTATGTAGATATCATATTATTTATGCAGTATGTAGACCATATATTGAGTTTACCCGCTTTAGCGGTCCCTAATAACAAATTATTAATTGTAATAAAAGGTATTGTATTTTTTAATTAGAAAAATAACTATGGTTTTTACTATAAAGTCGCCTCCGTTTATTTCTTAAAAAATTTAAATATTTGTTGCTTTTTTCGAATATTATTTCTTCTTTGCAAGTCTTGTTTTTGAATGCAAAATAATATTAGAATGAATATTTAGACAGGTTAGAATCAAGCGTTGTAATAAAATAGTGTTTTCAGATTTCGAAATTTATTTAGGGGACTATATTTATACCCCTAAATTTATTATTCATACTCCCCAATAAACAAAGATGTTGTACAAAGATAATTTGACAACCACCTAATCAAATTTGATGAATATTTTTTTTTATTTTGATCTACGGCAAACTCATTCTTTTTGATTCACAGGGTTCATCCTTTTGACCATAAAAAAGCTACTTTTTGATACTATCTGTCGTGGAATTAATTGTC